AAATGAAGAATCTAATGAAAAGAGATCAAAACTGGTAACTTAAAAACGTATGCTGTGTTAGCTACAGCATATGATAATGAACCAGACTGATAGTTCTTTGCATAGAAGAGCTATTATGCTTTTTTTTTTCAAGTTTCAAACATTCACATTTTCATATTGGTTCTTTCAAATGACACCAAGGACACACATTTGTAAGATGTTTATCTAGCATATATGGTAGTCTGTGATGATGCAAACTTTCTGTTTCAAGCCAACTAAATTCTTGAAGACTAAACTTGTTATCTTGGATCTTGCTAGCAATATTATGCTCTAACCAATTGAGTAAACCTTTTAAAGATACAACTTTTAAGGGCAAGGACACTCATGAAATAGGGAATTATAAATGTGGAATTATTTCTCCTGAGGTTCTTTACCCCAGGGGTAAGATTTCAGAAACATCAGGAGTCTCCTAGCCAGTCTTTACTATGGTGATAATTCTTAGGGAAAGAGGTCATCTCTAAAGTAATCAAATATTAAATCTGTGCAATGGTTACCACCTTGATCTGATATCCGAATCAAAATCGGTAGTCAGTGCAAAGCAAGGAATGATTCAACTTAAAACCATACAATTACTGAGTGTACCATGAAAGAAAGCATATGATGCATGACTATTTTTTTTGCACTGCAAAAAAATAGTTGAATAGTGTGAGTCATTTTCAAGGTCAGCCCTACTTGTAGCATATTGCAGTAATTCAAAGGCTCATAAATGTAGAACTTGAAGGGATCTTAGTCATTTAGTGCAATCCTCTAACATTACAGATGAAGAAACTGAGGCCCAGAGAAGTAACCTGCCCAAGACTAAACAAGGACAAAGTAGCAGAGCCAGGATTTGAGCTCAGGCCCCTTGCCAACACAAAGCAGTCTTTTCACAATACCAACGACCTGTAATACCTTCTACTTAAATATTTCAAAATGTAAATGATTATTTAAAAAAAAATCTAAAGAGGGCTCATAACGTAGAAGCAAAGCATTCATTAGGGAGTTAAGTGCTCAGTGTGAAAAAATATTTTGCTAGGCACAGTGGAAGAAATAAATGCAGAAAACACAACTGTCTGCCCTAGTGAAGCTGAGATGATAAATGGTACGACAAAAGCAACAATCAGGAACCAGACAGTTTATCATGATCACATGAAGTGCAGCACTGGAATGGAACTAAATGGTCTGAGTCCCAGCCTCGGCTCTGCTACTTACTATACACAGTGATCTCAGACAAGTCACATCTGATGGATCTCAGTTTCTTATCTATAAAAGAAGAGGCTGGACTAGATGTATCTCTAGGGTACCCTTCCATTTCTAAAATCCTATGAGTTCATGAATTCTCCATTTCCATGTGCTTGTTCACTTGACTTTGTGCCTTACAGGCTCCTTAAAAAAAAAATTTTTTTTTAAATCTATCTTTAAGTTATTCAAGGTACCAGAGTTTAAAAGCAAATGTCTGGTACTTAAGTTCAGAATAAAAGGGCTGTCAATGAAAAAAGGAAAAAAAAAAAACCAGTGCATTCAAAAATAGCCAGAGATAAATTTGGAGCTTTTATTACGAATTCCAGGCATAGAGAAGCTTCTGGGTAACATATAACTTAAAGAGAAGATGGGATCCATTTTTTAAGACAAAAACTGATTCTGTAATATGGCAAGAATGTTAATAGGCCCCAAGACTTTGATTTTTTTTTCAAGTTTACTCTGTAATAACAAAGTATTAATTCTACCTTCTCTGGCTGAGATGATAAATGTTTTAGGACTAGATAGAAAGTAATCTGTCCTTTTCAGTCACAAGTTTGGCTATCTTCTCTTCATCTGCTTCTAGCTAATGAATACATTCTGGCTTCTTTTCCTCACAGATACTGCAGCAGAGCTTTGTGAAGCTGTCTTACTCAGCAAAACTGTAATTCTAGAAAGAACTTCAGCTTATTTTGAACAAAGTATCAAATGTTTCTTTTTATTTCCATTTATGTTGTGGATACCTGATCTTGAACTCTTGGCTTTAGTAATGTGCATTTTTCAAGTTCTACTCTTGGATCTATAGAACTAATGGTAACTATTCTTAGACCCATTATCAATAAAAAGGATGGTTATTTAACAACAAAGCACATTCTAATTTATAAATGCACTCGTCCATCAGAAACTGAGGTTAAAATGTCTTTTTAATAAAGATTAGCATAGATTGAATGTATTTGAAACAGAAAACACTAAATTTCTAACCATTTTTCACAAATTCAAGTCAAAGACCTCCATTATGGATCCTTCCTATGCAAGGTAAGGAACCCTTTTTCCTCCCCAATGAAAGGTAAGGTGGAAAAGGGGTGCAGGTAAGGGGTGCAGAAGGAAGAAAAAGTACTATCAACAAAGAATCACCAAAGTAAAAAAGATCTGGGGGATAGGATCACAAAATTTAACTTACACATTAGATTGATGATTTAATTCCTATTAAATAAATACACATAAGGATAGGGTGTGTGTATGTGTATGATGTGTGCACTTATGTATAGTTTAGAGAAAAAGAAGAAAAAAAGACAATTAAACAGAGACTGCATCTAAGTTTGTGTATTAACATCCCCATCATGTGGCTTTTTTTGAACACTACTATCAAATACTGAAAAGCTGTTGCATTTTATCTTGAGGTCATTCATAGGGAAAAAATGTAAATACTTTCTTCAGTCAGCATAGTTCTTGATGGATTGCCTCAAAAAGAGTAAATTGCCTAACTCATAAAATGGCATAGCTCAATTATAGGAAGTAAACGTGCTATTACAATAAAACTTCTGGTTTTGTGCACACATGTACGTGTGCACACACACACACACCCCCCTAACCCTGAGACTGGTAGAAAAAAAAAGTGTAGAATTGTACAGCTTTTACAAAAATAAAAAAAAAAGCTGCAATGTTTTCCATTCTGAGAAAACAATTACAGAAGGGTAATAAAAACATGCACAAGTCAACGAACCATTTGGGAAGATTTCAAGAATTACAACTTTAGGGGCAGCTAGGTGGCGCAGTGGATAGAGTACCGGCCCTGAAGTCAGGAGGACCAGAGTTCAAATCCGGCCTCAGACCAAACACTTGACACTTACTAGCTGTGTGACCCTGGGCAAATCACTTAACCCCAACTGCCTTAAAAAAAAAAAAAGAGGAAAAAAAAAAAAAGAGTTACACTTTACCTACCACAGCAGCAAACAAGCTACTACAGTAAAAGTCAACTCTCTCTGTAGCACTACTCTATTGAGGAAGATGGTAAGAAGAGCCAAAATAGGAGAGTAGGAGAGATCACATACTCAGGCAAAAGCCAGAGGAGAGTACAAAGGAGAATCTCTCATTCAGAATGTCAGTTTAGAATCCATTTTACATTTTGTCCATTTAGATTTTTTACAAGGCTTATTAGGTTTCACGTATTTAATATGCAAAATTCATACCTCTAACAAAATGCTTGTTGAAATAAGTGAAGAAAGCATGACCAACTAGATTGAACACATTTCTAATTTTAAAAAAACATCTTGACTATTATTAACATACAGCTTAAGTGAATATTTCTTTTCATCAAGTTAACCAGTTTTGTCCTATTTCAGTTTGGCTCTCTTGACTGCTCTTTAGAGATACGAACACATCCCACAGAATACATCAGGGACTATCCAAAACTGCTTTCGGGTGGGAGTGTTTGGTGTATATGCCATTCTCTGGTCTACAAGACTCTCTTCCTCAAAATTTGGTTTCCTTTTCACATGCCCCTAATGGTTCTGCATAGCAGTAAAGGATATTCCTGAGAAATTATCACTATTAACTTTTCTTTAATATTTTAGTTTGCCTCTCTTGCTGTTTCTTCAGAGTGTATTAAAGAATACAAAAGGGACAGGCCAAGGCAGCTTGTGAATGGGAGGAAGGAACTTATGCCATCCTCCACAGGGGCGTTTTCTTCATAATCTGGTTTCCTAGTGCTTCTGCACCTAAGTAAAGGACACTCCTCAGATTCCACTATTACTTTGAAACAAGGTTTCCAAAGGAATGTGGTGACAAGGTCCAAGGGAAGGATAGAAAGACAGAGGAGAAAGAGAAGGGGAGGGAAGAGACAGAGAAGAGGAGGGAGGAGACAGGAAAGGGGAGGGGGGAAGGACACAGGTAAAGGTGGGGAGGAGACAGGGAAAGAGGGGGAAAGGCGGAGGGAAGAAGGAGATAGGGAATGGAGAAGAGGAGATATAGAAGGAGAGGGAGGAGGAGACACGAAAACGGAGGAGGAGAGGAAAAAGTAGAGATGGAGAGGGGGAAAGGGAAAGAGAAAAGAGGAGAGGGAGGAGGCAAAAGGGGAAGGAGAAGACAGAGAAGGGGAAGGAGACAGAGACAAAAAGGGAGAGAGAGTGAGAGAAAAAGGAGAGGGAAAAGGAATAGGAGAGGATTAGAAAGAGAAAGGGAAGAGGGACAAAAAGAGAGAAGGAGAGGGAAAGAGGGAGGAAATGGAGGGAGATGACCTCTTTAAAAGGTGTGACAAATCGGGAAAATACGGGCTGCGAGGCTTCACCACCATTCCTTCGCCCCCCCTCCCCCCAGCACCGGAGGAGGTTCACGTGGGGATCATCCTGTCGGGTAGCTGGACGCACCGTGATGGGGGCGGGGGCAGACCCGTGCTCGGCACGCGGTCAGCGCGGCCCCCGCCACCGGCGTCCCCCCCACCTGCACCTGGGGGACCAGGGCCCGGAGGGGGGGCGCCGCGAGCATCTCCCGCGGAGGAGGAAGAGGGGAGAGGAGGGAGCACAAGCCGCTTCGAGGCCTGCGGAGTGGCGGGTGGGGCAGGCCTAATCACATGGCGCACTTAACGCAGAGCAGAGCCAGCGGAGCCGGCATCTTCCCCCCTCCCCCTTCCTCCCTCCCCTCCTCGAAGCCTGGAGCTCCATCCCAGCCCCGGCCACTCCCCAGCCTAAGTCCAGGAGGAGGGAAAGGCCTCCTTCTCCTCCGCCGGGCTAGAGGAAGCGACTCACTTTTCTCCCCCTGCCGGCTCCTTCCCCTCGCTGTTGCCATAGGCGTTGGCCTCGCCGGAGCCGTCCTTAGGGGGGGTCGACGAAGGCGGCTGCATCTGCGCCGCCTGGGGCTGGGCGCCCCCCTTGCCCAGCTCCTGAAGGATTTCCGAATGGGAGCTCGACAGCCCCCGTGCCAGGGGCGCCAAGGGCCGGCTGGCGCCTCCACCCCGCCAGGGGAACAGCTCTCGGGCCGCGGCGGCAGCCCGGCCCCCGACTCGGGGGCGCCGGCACAAGGTGGTGAGGGGCTGTCCCCGTCTCAGAGCTGCCCCGGCGGCGGGCGGATGCAGCAGCAGCAGCTCCCGCAGCATCGCGGAGCCTCGGAGCCGCATCATGCCGGCCGCTAAGCTTCGCTCACCCCCGCACTAACCACCCCCACCCGGGGCTGCTCTCGGCACCGACTAGAAGGATGCGCCGGGTCAGCGGTTCCTCAGGAAGGCTCTCGGGCCGCGGGAGTGACGGAGGCCTTATGGGCTGCGGAGCAAGGGTGGAGAATGGGAGGAAGGAGGCTGCGTGGCGGGGATCCTAGCCTAGGTGACGGCTGCGGCTGCTGCTGCTGCTCCTCCGGCCGCCGAGGGTTCTCTACACTGAGGCCCCGAGCAGAGGGGACGGGCCGAGACGTTCCGCTCTCGCCCACCCAGAGGCGAGAAGCCGAGACGGCCCGCCCGCCACGCCCATTCTTATTGGTTCACAGGACAGACTTCTCTTCTGATTGGTGGATGGAGCAGTCAAATTTCTCTCGACGCCCGCTGTTTGAGGGGGGCAGGTGGAGGCGGGGGGGGGAGGGGAGTGATGAGGAATTAAACTGACGTAGGAAGAGGGGGAGGGTCTGGGTCCTGGGCTTCTGATCCTTCTCGCGTGCCCCCAGGCACGCGAGGTACATCGGTCCCCCTAGTCTCGGTAACTGGGGGACCCAGGCATTCTTGCAGAATGCAGCCTAAACTATGAAAAGCGGCATGGGCGGCAGGAAGGTTCTTGACTTTGGGGCCTTAAACTGGGGGAAACTGATGGGCCCAGAGTTCTTGGCAGTAGAGCCGGGAGAACTGGAGGGCAGCTGGAATAAGGGTGGATTGAGTTCTGGATGCAGCCAGCCTTGCATCGGGACCCCCAGCTATCTGATAAAGCAATTAGAAAATGCATTTAAATAGCCAGAGCAGTCCCGTTAAGAGGACAATGATGCCTTTCCCAAATGGCACGTTTTTCAGTTTAGTTTTTTTTCCCCCTGAAACTTTCCATGTTTGGCTTCCACCCAGATATGAAGTGTTTTGGAAAAAATGAATAAAATCCTTTCAGTTATGTGACTTAAGCCACAAAGGAGAAGAGAAAAGGGGGGAAAAAGAACACATTTCCCTTCGTCTTTAGGAATTACTTTAGGTCTAAACATATGCTTCAAAAAGTAAGAATTTTTAATCGCAGCCATTCAACTTAGACCAGTTACTCATTAGCTTGAAAATAAAACCTTAAGTAGTTTTTTATACTTTCAGTTTTAGGTAATTTGCTTTATTGTTTAAAGAGAAAATTCCTAAGCCTCCTAATAACTATGTCAATTTAGACTAAACTTTGTATCCGTGTCTCTTCATTCTTAGCTTAAAATCTCTGGTGAATTCGAAATCCTAGAAATTCCACTTGATTTAAACTCTTGGCTGTATGCCATCATCCCTTTTTTATGATGCTTCCTAATCAGAATATTTTTATGTATACCACTAAAATAGATTTAAAATTCATGGGTGCACCAAGTTTTCAGATGTAATAATATTTATGAAACATGAACAGTAATTCATAAAAGATCACCAGGTTTAGTAATCTAAAGAATCCTGACATATTTCATTAAGTTAATAGTAAAGAAAATCTGGTTGTCCTTAAGAGTTTGTGCAACCTTTGGAATGCCAGAACCTTCCTGTGCACGTTTTTTTTTTCATTCCATCAAATGCTAACTGTATTGGTTCATCTACCTATAGGATAATCTTTAGTTATTTGCTCACATTGCATATGCTTGAAAGTCCTCCCCATCCTGCCCATTCCACCTCCACTCCTACCCCCCCACTCCGGCATTTAAAAGCCACCTCCTTGGAGAATCCCACCTTCCCTCTAATGCTTCACATTGAATTTTGCCTAGGCATTTATCTCATATTATTGTTTGTGCTGGTCATCTAGATTTGTGTCTTCCTGTAAGCTCTGTGACAACTTCATCTTTTCTAAATTTTTTTTATCCTCCCTAGCACCATACCTTTCACATTGCAGGTATTTAATAAATGTCTGATCAGTTTACAGAACTTTAAGAAGATTAACAGGTGTAAAACGCATTAATCTTTAAAAAAAAAAAAAGCCAATACAATTGATACAATTTAAAATTTTTTTCTTTACTGTACATACTGGCTGTTAACCCTGGGTAAGTCACTTGACCTCTGGAATGTCTTAGGCAATCTCTGAAACTGTAAATTAAACCAAAGACAAGGACCTGAGTTTCCTCACCTGGAAGAGTTCCTCAAAGTAAGGGGTGGTCCAGTGGAACCCCTGGGGGATGGGAAAAGAGACCTTTCTGAAGGTCCATGAGGTCAAACTATTTTCATAATAATGATGTTTATCTTGTATATAGCTTGCTTTGTATGTATTTGTTTTCATGTTGTTCCACCCCCCTTTAGATTGTAAGCTCCTTAAGGGCAGAGACTTTTTTGCCTCTTTTTGTATCCCCAGCAATTAGCACAGTGCCTGATAGTATTATTAAATATAAAATATTAAAAATTAATGAATATTGATTGATTTATAAGTAAGGCATTTGAGGGTCTGTGATATCAAAATTTTCAAGATCATAATGCTTTTCTACAGCATATAGCTGAATGACAAAATTCTTCCTTAACAAAAAATACCATTAGTTTACATTTTATAGAAATTTAAAAACACACAATATGTTCCCTCTGGACAGCAGTTTATAAAAACTACAGTTTAAAATTACATTTGTAGTTTTTGTAGTAATTCTTAGGGAGTCTATATGTGCTGGTCCTTTTTTTTTTTTTTGGTTAGTTTCCTGCTTTCTCTGGGTAAAGTCCTGAGACTTACTTTCTCCTACAATACTTATTGTTGTTCAGTCACTCAGTAGTGTCTGACTCTTTGTTTCCCCATGGACCATAGTATGCCAGGCCCTTCTATCCTCCACTATCTTCTGAAGTCTGTCCAAGCTCTTGTAGGTATTCCATGACACCATCTACCCATCTCATCCCCAGTGAGTATGATCTTCTCACTAAGTGGACAAAGTATTTAAGCTTCAGTATTTTCTTTCCAATGAATGGTCACAATTAATTTCTTTAAGTATTGACTGAATTGATCTCCTTATTGTCTGAGGGACTTTCAAAAGTCTTCTCCAGCACCACAATTAGAAAACATATACATACATACACAATACATACAGACTAATACAAAAGGAAGTAATCCCTATTCTGAAGCCTAATCCCCCTCTATAAACTTTATTAAGTAATGTGATAAACTTCTATTCCTGCTTTGAAAACACAAGTTAAAAATGGTTTAAAACTATTCCTCAGATCACAAAAGCATCTCTTCTAAAAACATATCTAATTTTCCCCTTAAAAATAATTAAGCATAATTTAGAAAGCATCTCAAAATACAATTCAGGATGTCAAGATGCTATGAAGACAATTAGATTAAGCAAATCTGAGCTCAGTGCCCAGGTTACCAGCTATATATAAACAATTAGGGGCAGCTAGGTGGCCAGTGGATAGAGCATGGGCCCTGAAGTCAGGAGGACCTGAGTTCAAATCCCACCTCAGACCAAAACACTTGACACTTGCTAGCTGTGTGACCCTGTGCAAGTCACTTAACCCCAATTGCCTAAAAATTTTAAAAAGCAATTAAAGGGGAGGAAGAACTATTAGAAAAAAATAGGTAAAACAAGGGTAAACACATTCACATTGTAGTATAAAAGATGTCATCAAAGAAATGCATGATCAAAATGACAAACTGGTCTTCTGAATAGGAAGGACAACTGACAGCCTGTGTGCTCCATTAGTGTCCTCTCAAGAGAGAGCAAGAATGGTGGAATCCTTGTAGAAAACTTATGGAAGGACCTGGACTAGAGTCACACAGGATGGGCAGGTATAGATTGAATATGATCTACATTGTTATAGGGAACACACATCAAGGAGAACACAGATCCATTGCAGTACTCAAATATAAATGCACACACATATATACACATGCATATATTCATACAGGATGTATACATGCATCACAGATTCACACTAGGGTGTCAGTACTAGTCATGAGAGCACTAATCCATTGCCCATTAGTATCAGTGATTCCAAGTGCACTGCTTCTATCTTCTGTCCAAATAGCAGCTGTTGGCTTATCCCACTAAAATTCTGACCACCTTGTCAGCTCTTTGCAGTCGAAGAGGCACCAGTCAGTTACGTGAACAATACTGAGTGACCTTCAGCAGATTATTTAACTTCATGATGCATTGGAAATGGGGATGCATTTGTAATAAGAGGACCAGGGTGGTAAGTAGTCTACCACTTTCTGCCTTATGATCTTAGATAAATCACAACTTCTCTAGGCCTATTTCTTTATCTGTAAAATAAGGGTGTGAGATTAGTTAGTCTTAAAGGTTCCTTTCAGATTGAAATCTATTCTGCTATAAACCTTTGTTAGCTTCAGTTTCCTCATCTGTTAAATAACATTTGCACTACCTATATTTCATAGGACTCCTATGAGAAAAGCCCTTTGTATGACATAATCTTTTCTATAATAGTGAGTTATTTGGGCACTGCAATTGGGTCCAAAACATCAATTGCACTGTCAGATAATCAGTAAATAAGCATTCATTAAGTGCTTATTATGTGCCAGGCACCATGGTAAATGATGGAGATACAAAGAAAGGCAAAAAAACAAATGATCCCTGCCTTTAAGGAGCACATATTCTAGTGTGCTAGAACACTAGAAGATTTAAATAACTAGGTTAAGTAAAAAATAAACACAAAATGGATGGAAAGTAATCTCAGACAGGAAGACACTGTCAGCTGGGCAATCAGGAAAGGCCTCCTGCAAAAGGTGTGATTTGAGCTGTTTCGAATGAAACCAGGGAAACTAAGAGGCAGAGGTCAGTTGAGAGAAAATTCCAGGCCTGAGGCAAGAGGTGAAATGAAAGTAAGGCCAGTAGATTCTAGACTGTATGGTCTATATGGAGAAATGTGTAAAAAGGTTGGAAAAGTAGGAGGAAATCAGGTTTTGAACATCTTCAAATGTCAAACAGAGAACTTCATATCTGATCCTGGAGAAAATAGGGAGACACTGGGATTTTTTGAATAGGGGGGCAAGGCAAGACATGGTCAGACCTGCATTTTATGAAAATCACTTTGGCTGTGAGTGGATTGATGGATTAGAGCAGGGAGAGATTTAAGGCAGAGAAACCAACTAGAAGGCTATTTTCTAAGTCCATAAATTACCAATTAATAAATCGCTAATCTGCATCTGTGAATGGAAAAACAGAAATCATCTCTTAGTGAAAATATTCTACAGAATTCCTGACCAGACAAGCCAGGAAGTTCCCAGACTCTAACAACCCCATA